GGGCGGAGAAGCGGCGAGCAGCCGAAAGGTAACTGGCTCCCCTCCCCCCAACGGGGCCTTACCCAGCGGGCCCTTGCCTGGCTCACGAATCACATCCTTGCCCTCCCCTGGCCCAGAGCTACGGGGCGCCTGTGTTTCTGGCTGTCCAGAGCCACTCCCTGCTCTGTTTGGCTAGAGGCCCGTGGGGCTGGCTGGGAGGGGGTGCCAGGCATTGGGGCTGACTTAGGCTCAGAAGTTGCCAGCTGGGCCTGCATGCTGGGCACCGGTGCCAGCTGGCCGTGTGCGGGTGACCCTCTGCAAGGGGCTTGGCCGCCTCTCCCGTGCCACCAGGCCGTGGGCCTCTGGCAGCCCTGGCTCTGGATGCTGACGTGTGTTGCTTTGTGCCAGGCATGCCAAGGAGCGCAAGCTGAGAATCTGGAGGGACTACGTGGCGCCCACCGCTAACCTGGACCAGAAGGACAAGCAGTTCGTTGCCAAGGTGAGCGCCTCGCGGGCGAGGAGGGGACTTTCCGTTCAGGCTCTTGGGACTCGGGCAGAGCGTGGGAGGGAGCCCCGGAGCACGTCTTGCTGCAGGTTTCCCAGGGCACTGGCCTTGGCTCCGGACAGAACGCTCCCTCTCTGCCGTGTGCATGCAGGCGTTGGGCCTTTCCTCGAGCGTGGCACCCACTCACGGCTGCAAGCGGGGGATGGGTCTGGGTGGGCGGTGGGTGATGCTGGGCCCTTGTAACTTACAGCCCTGGCTCCTGGCACAACTGATCATGAGCTGTATCCTGAGTTGGTGAGAGGCTTCCTTCCCCCCCGCTGTGGGCCGCAGCAGTGCCCCCCCCAATAGGCAGCCCTACCCTCAGAGGCCAAGGGGAGCTGAATCAGCAGCCAGTGAGTTCTGCTCGTTTAGCCCTTCGCACGTGGGGGTGCTGGCCTCTTGTCCTGCCCTCCGTCCTGCTCCCTGCACCTACTGTGCTCTGCCTCCCCCCCCCGCGTTCTCTGCTCCAGCCTCCCCTGGGCAGACCCTCGTGTGCCGCAGGGACTGAGGGAGTGGAGGGGCATGAGGGTCTGTCAACCACCCGAGCTGCAGATGGGGCGGAGCCCTGGCACTGTCCAGATGACACGGGGCTTGGCCACGCTGTGGCCACTGGGGAGTGGTGCATGGACCGTCCCACTTCCCCTCTGCGCCGTGGCCAGTAGAGGGCGGCCTGGGCTCACGGCAAGGCTCACTGGCCAGGCGGCCTCCCGGAGCGGCCTGGACCCCGGCTCACGGCGGTGAGGAGGGCAGGGATCGTGCGCTCTCCTGTGTCAGGGCACAGGTGGGGTTATCCCCACAGCCCCTGCTGCAGGGCTCCTTGCACCTTCCTCTGCATCCGCTGGCCCTGAGGGAGCTGAGCCACGGGGCTGCTGTGTAGCCAGGTCACAGGGCAGGTCTGTCGGCCTCTCCCTGGGCTCCCTTGGGCTAGCGCAGCATAGCTGTGTGCGGGGCCCGGGAACTGCATCCGCCTGCTGCCTGGAGATGGGAAGGGCTGGGAGAGCCACTAGGTGGCGCTGTTGCTGTGTCGTTCGGCTGCCTGGATCCCTGCTGCCGGGAGGTGGGATTCGGCCGGAGAAATGGGCAGTCGGGGCAGGTCTGTCGGCCTCTCCCTGGGCTCCCTTGGGCTAGCGCAGCATAGCTGTGTGCGGGGCCCGGGAACTGCATCCGCCTGCTGCCTGGAGATGGGAAGGGCTGGGAGAGCCACTAGGTGGCGCTGTTGCTGTGTCGTTCGGCTGCCTGGATCCCTGCTGCCGGGAGGTGGGATTCGGCCGGAGAAATGGGCAGTCGGATTTTCTTGGAAAGTAAATGAAGCCTCTGCACTGCTCCTCCCCCACTCTTTGGGAACGCTCCCAGCGGCGGCCCCCCCTTCCAGGGCACCGCTCCCTGCCTCTAGGTTCCCAGCCCGTCGGCTGTCTTGGAGATGGAGTTCCAGCCTCGCTCCCGGCTGGATTGCCGATCGGCCGCAGGAAGCTGGCCTGTGCCCGGTGTAGGGGAGTGCCTGGGCTCCCCGCTCGGAGCGCACGCGGCCGGGCTCGGCACCCTGTTCCTGGCCCCCGCGCCCAAGCTCCAAACGTGGGGCTCCCCCACCCAGGCCTCTGTGGCCTCTGATGCCGCGGGCAGCTCCAGCGCAGGGAGGATCCTAGGGCAGCAGCTTAGCCGAAGGCTGGAGGAGGACGCGGCGGCTCTGGGAGCTAGGACCATGCCCGTTGTCGTGGCTGCTTAAGGCTTCAGGGGCTTCTCCCCGGACTCGTCTGACTGCCCTGCCCGGCAGCCCTGGCCACCCAAACACGTCCACCCCCACTGCAGCTAGCTCAGCCCTGGAAAGCGCCCGTGTACGCGGTTCCCAGCACCGGGGCAGGTGGCTTACGGAGCGCGCTAGGGCCAAGCCCTGCCGCATGTCAGTGCAGCCTTCACCTCAGTCCCTTCTCCCCTCCCTGCAGGTATGTAGCCACCCCAGGGCGCGGCTCTGAATTGCAGCCTCACTCGGAGCCCCCAGGTCAGTGGAGACTAGCTTGTGGGTCTGGCCCTAGACCTGGCATAGAAATGCAGGGCTGGAAGGGACCTTCAGTGACCCTCTAATCCACCCCCGTGCAGGGAACCGCCTCCAGCACTGGACTCAGCAGTGGGGGACACCTTCCTCCTGCCTCTGACCTTCCTCCTGCTGATGCATCCCAGGAGACCGACTCGTTCACCCGGACCCGCTGCCCCTGCTCCTTGGCAGCCACGCTGCCGCTTAGCCACTTGTCCCCCAGCGTGCAGCTGGCTTTGGTTTTGCTTCCCCTTGTCATACGTGGGCCTTGCCTTTGAACTCCGCTTGCGACTTCAGACCCATTCTGTCATTGGTCCGCTTGCATTCGAGCCCTGTCCTCCACAGGGCTTGTAACCCCTCCCGGCGTGGTGTGCCTTACACGCGCACTCCCCGCTCCGCTAGCCACGCCAGGACTGGAAATTGACCCCTCACTAGAGCGCTCTTCCCCGCCTGGCAGAGCTGTGGGCTGCTAGAGGCCGCTGGCTGGCTAGCGTGTGCCGAGGCAGGGAGGGGATCGGGTCCCTACTGCAGGAGGGGGGGCAGATATGTGCCAGACTGAGCTCGTGGTGCTGGCTCCGAAACCTCCGTTAGCGCTGGAGGTCCCTTCTGGCCCTGCGTGTACCAGGGTGATGCCTGCTTCTGGCGTTGGCAAGGTGCCACCATGGCCCTGTCTGGGAGCCCCTGAAGGTGGAAGTGACCCGAACCTGGAGCAGCACCCCTCCCTTCTCGGAACCGCCACCCGGCCTGGGGGCTGCGGCCAGGGCTGGACGAACCCCGCCAGCCATCTGGGAACAGGGCTCTGCATGGAGCCTTGTCCGCATGGTCTCAGGCAGCTCGCCATGTCGCTGCTCAGGGCATGCTGGGAAGGCCCTGGCCTGGCCGCTGCCCTCCGAGGCCCCAGCGAAGAGACGGCCCTGATGTATCCGGCCACTGCGCTGGCTAGGAGTTAAAGGGCCAGGTGGCAAGGCAGAGTTCTTCCCTCGCTGCCCTGCCCACTAGGCGATGGTGCAGGGCTCTTCCCTCGCTGCCCTGCCCACTAGGCGATGGTGCGGGGCTCTTCCCTCGCTGCCCTGCCCACTAGGCGATGGTGCGGGGCTCTTCCCTCGCTGCCCTGCCCACGGGACCCAGGGCACCTGAGTGGCGCGTGCGTGTGTGTGTGTGCGCACTAGCCTGTGTCCAGTATGTGTAAGTGCAGGACCACACCAGGCCAGAGACCCCCTTATTGTGCAAGGTGGCCGAGTCCGTCCGCGCGATAATCACAGAACCCACCTGGCACCGCATCTGACCCCTGTCTTGGGTGGGGCTGTGAGGCTAAACAGCAGCGGAGAGGTTGGGGACCCCTCCCCATCGTAGGGCCCCGGGGCCTGGCCTTCAGCCTGAGCCCAAACGTCTGGACTGGAACTTGCCAGCCTTGCAGCCCGGGCCAGCCATGAACACTGGGATCTCCGCGCCGTGGAGACATGCCCTCCGTGGGCTGGCCTGCTTCTCTCCTTGCTGTGCTGTCTGCCTGAGTCTGAGCCGCTGGGCAAGGCCGCAGGGAGGGGCCTCCCCTCCAGGGTCGGGGAAGCAGCCGGCGCAGCTTGCTTCCAGCTAGGGGCTGGGGTTGGAGGAAATCCATGTCGCTCGCAGGATGCCGTCTGGGGCATCTGTGCCCGGTGGCTGCCCCCGGCGTGGCTGGGGCCCATCTCTCCTTGCTGTGCTGTCTGCCTGAGTCTGAGCCGCTGGGCAAGGCCGCAGGGAGGGGCCTCCCCTCCAGGGTCGGGGAAGCAGCCGGCGCAGCTTGCTTCCAGCTAGGGGCTGGGGTTGGAGGAAATCCATGTCGCTCGCAGGATGCCGTCTGGGGCATCTGTGCCCGGTGGCTGCCCCCGGCGTGGCTGGGGCCCACTCCAGCTGCGCTGCAAGGGTGGGTTGCAGGAGGGCCCCAGTGCCGGTTGGCGTTGCCGGGGGCCGGCAGGGAGAGAGCCCCGGGGCCCAGCCGCGGGAGTGGGGTGTGGAGAAGTCAGGCCGTGTCACTGCCGGGTTGCTCCCCGGGAGAGCTGGGCCCCCCTCAGCTGTCAGGCTCTTGCACTCCGTGCTGGCTGGCCCCAGGCCCCGGCGGGGGGAGCTCTCCCTGCCCCTCTGGGTTAGGAGGCAGGATTAGGGGACCTTGCTTTTCAACGTCACTGCTTGTTGCCATGTGCCGGCTCTGCCGAGAGCGGCTGTTTCCTTCCATCTGGTCCCCTGGGCGCGTGTCTGCCTTCCCCTCCCCCGCGGCGCCCGTTCCAAGCACGTCCCTGGTGCGCTCAGGTGTCTTGTGCGCGGCCCCCGGCTCTGCTCTGCTGGGACCAGTCCAGAGGGCCGGGGGCGCCCGCAGCCTGTCCCTCGGCCAGAGCGCGCCGGCCCAGGGCTGTCACTCGCGCAGCCAGCGGCTGGAGTGGCACCTGCAGAGGGCGAGGGGTCTCAGGTTCCTAAGCTGGAACTCAGGACGGGGTTTCTCCAGCTCTGCCGCTGGCCCGCCAGGTGACCGCAGGCGGGTGGTGCTCGCCAGGCCCCCCCACGTGGGGACGCTTCCTCCCCCTTGTCGGTTGGATCGCACGCTGCTGGCCAGGGCACTGCATTTGCTGCATGCTTCCCATCGGTCTCTTCGCCCCGCCCCTCGTCTCCAGTGGAGCTGAGCTCCTCGGGGCGGGCCTGGAACGCAGATAACGGGCCCTCCCGGGCTGTGCCGTTACCGGGGCTGTGCTCGTGGTGGGCTCTACAGGCGGCGTATGGCTGCCCTCCCTTTGCCTGCTCCCAGCCTCGCCCCCAGCTCGGGCCCCTAACTGTGCTGTGTCCTTGCCTGGCCACACCAGGCCTGTCTTCTGCTCACATGCAGCCTCAGCAGAAACATGCCAGCCGGCCTTTCGGAAGCAAGTGGCACTGATCTCAGTGTCAATGCTTGGTCCCT